GGACCTGCTGACTACACACAATCGTTGACCCTGTGGATGTTCTAATCGGAGATTCATTTTAGTTAAAGGAAAGCAAGTAAAGCAATCTTTCTACTGATTCCTAAGTTCTGATGACATGACAAAGTACTAGTTTGCGTCTACCAAGCAGCTCAAAATAATTCTGAAACCCCTGAAACAGTCTACAATTTTCTATCTTAAAAACCCAGATATCATTTTTCCCCCCTCAATTAAAAAAACAATGATATGGAAGGTTGTTGGGTTTGGTTTTGGTTTGTTTGTTTGTTTGGGATTTTTTTTTAAATGTCCTGCATTTTATTAACAGGACAGACCAGATATCTCCAAAGTAATGTATAGCTGTACTTCAATATGCCCTCAAGTAGATGATCCAATTTTTAAGACATTTAGGCAACAACTGGGTTATAGGAAATCCTAAGATTTCAAAGAGCAGTCTGAGAAGACTAAGTAAATTATTATAATGAAATGTCCAAAGATGTCGAGTTTGAGAAGCAAAGGCTGGAATACATGTAACACTTCTCAAGCTGAAGATGGGAAGGATATAAGTGGATGTACAGAGTTAAAGCTGTAACAGAACTGGTCCTCACTCAGTGATTCCAGGGGGCAGCACATGATGACCAGCCTATGGCCCTGAGGGAAGAAGTCCTCACTGCACTCCAACCACTGGTCAAAGCCAGGCCCCAGGAAGCGAAGATAAACCACTTGAGATGCTTTTACAAACAGGTGCAATGCTGTAATGTTTACTAATCTATTCCAAGAAGTTTCGAAGACAACTACCTGGCCAGCCGACTGCAAAAGAGTCACTTTTCTGCCATTCCAATGAAAGTTGACCCCACAAAAATGCAGAAACTATTGAACTATATCATTAATAACTCAGAGAAGAAAAACTATGCTGAAGACACTTTTTAGATGGCTGCTGCAGTTCAGTCAGGGCACTTCTAGAAATTCAAGCAGATTCAGAAGAGGTTTCAGAAAGACAGCATTGCTAAAAAAAAAAAAAAAGAAAGACAGCATTGCTGATAGAGAATAGATCCCGGCTCTATGACATGTCATCAAGACGTCTACCTGTGTTTTACTGACTGTGCAACTTATTATGTGTAAACCACAATAAATTATGGGTAAGATTGGAACAAAAAACCAAACCAGAAATTCCAGAACATGTAATTGTCCGTATGTGGAATTTATAAATGGATCAAGTGGGAGCTGTTTGAACAGGTGAAAACTGCCTGGTATATCAAGACGACTCAGTGCCAGGGTTGTGCCTTTCAGCACATTTTGTCCACATACACACTAAGCAGAGAAGCAGGGCTGTATTGAAGAGAATGCAGCATTAAGACCGGGGGAAGATTCATTAATGACCTTCAACACACAGATATCCCGTGGACGCTTACGAGAATAAGCAGGTTCGTCCTGGAGAGGATGAAACCATAATGCTCCTTGGAGGCATGGATTTTGAAGCTCTGTCTGACATACTTTGGGCATGCTGTGAGAAGGGACCAGTCTTTAGAGAGGGACATCATGTTTGGGAGGGTGGAGGGACAGCGCAGCAGGGGAAGACCCTTGATGAGATGGATTGACTCAGTGACTGGAGTAATGGGGGAAGGTGTGTCAGAGACGGTGAGGTTGGTTCAGGATAGGGTAGGGTTCGGAGCTGCTGTACACAGGGTCACTATGAGTCGCAGGTGATTCGCTGGCACAGAACAACAGCAAAACCTTATTTGCTGAAAGCAAAGGGGACTTGAAGCATTTACTGAGGACTATCAAAGATTACAACCTTCAGCACAGGTTGCACCTCAACATGAATTAAACCAAAAGCCTCCCAACTGGACCAATAAGCAACATCATGATAAACAGACATAAGATCGAAGTTCCTACGGATTTTGTGTTACCTGGACCCCAAACTAACAAATTAAGATATTAAATCACATATTACCCTGGGCGGATTTGTTGCAAGAGACTTCTTTTAAACAGGTAAAAAGCAAAAGCATCATTCTGAGGCCTAAGGTATGCTTGACCCAAGCCAGGTTATTTTTCAATTGCCAAAGTGAAAGCTAAACAATGAGTAAGAAAAATCCCAGAGGACTGGATGTCTTTTAATGATGGTGTCAGTGAAGAATACTGACGATATGGTGGCCCGCCAGGGAACGAGTCAGTTGGTTGTGAAAGAAGCTGAACGAGAACGCTCCTTAGAAGTGAGGCCATGACTTCCACTCTGGACATTTCAGAAGGAAGGTCCAGCCGCTGGAGAAGGGCTATTTGGTTGCTAGTTCTGTTTGTTCCCACGTAAAATCAAATTGGACCCAATCATAGCTGACCCTCTGTGGGTTTCCAGAGGTTGTAACCCATACAATAGGAGATCCTTTTTCCATGTGGAAAAGTGCATCTTTTCCTCACAGAGCAGCCAGCCAGCAGATTTGAACCTCATACCTTTGAGATGTCAGTGAGATGACATTTTACCACTAAGGCACCAGAGGTGCCCTATGGCTGATAGCTGTTATGTGCTTTCAAGTCAGCACTGACTCACAGCTGACCCTCCAGTGTGTTTTCAGAGGCTATACTGCACAGGAGGAGACTGCCCATCTTTTGTTCAGGGAGCAGCTTGTGGCTTTGAACTTCGTGCCTTCGGGATTGGAGCACAGCTTCTTACCACTAGGTCACCATAATTCCCTAAGGTCACACACAAAAAGAGTCAATTAAAAGAAGGGGGGGACCCTCAAGGGACCTCTGGTGGCGGAGGTCACAGGGTATGGCTAAACCATGTGGTGCCTCTCTGGTGGTTCAAATTCAGCAGTGGCTCCAACTGGAGAATGGTGGGCAATCTTCTCTGGGACAATTTACAGCTGAAAGGGCAGCTCTGAGGCAGTTCTGACTCAATCAACAACAATGTCTGGTTGGTAGAGGGCCAATCAAAAAGGAGAAAGCACTCAATGAGACGGATTAATACAGCGACGCTCACAAGTGGCTCAAACCCAATGCCTGTGAAGAGGGTGCAGACCCCACAGTGTTCCCCTGTGTCCTGTCTGCACAGGGAAACTCTGAGTCAGAACCCACTCGGTGTGGAGACACTTCACAACTAACTACAATTCAGGATCTTCAATCACAGCTACTACTTTAATGTAGCGTGTTTCAAGTTATAAGCTCATTTCAAAACTCATAAATAAAAGTCTCTTGGCAAAACGTGCCAATAAACCATTTCCCAGCTTCCTACCGGCTGAATTGATTAGAACTGAGTTCCATTTATTACCTATCGTAGCATCAACAATCTACTCAATGTTTATCGCAGCTTTGTTCACAATAGCAAGGAGTTGGAAACAATCTAAGTGCCCATCAACAAACGAATGGACAGAGAAGCTATGGTATATTCACACAATGGAATACTATGCTGCATTGAAAAACAAGGAACTCATGAAATATTATTCAAAATGGGTGACCCTGGAGGACATTATGCTGAGTGAAATATCTCAGACACAAAGGGACAAATATTTCATAGTGCCACTGTTGTAAAACAGGACTGACACTGGGGTTGGGGTGGGGGGGGGAGACTGAAAAAGATGGGATAACTAATGTATACTGCATTGAAACAGATGAGGGAGAAAACTGTTTAAAAGAGATATGTGATTAAGTATCATTGTCATGACATGAGTCCAGAGCGAAGGCTGCAGTGCAGTGGACTTGGGGGAAGGAAATGTATAACAATGAAAGAATTTTTCTTTTACTTTTCAAAGAGAAGAGTGAACTGGGAGGGTGGCGGGTGGGGAGGCAGGGAGAAAAGTGCAACAGTGAATGATTGGAAATCGTAAGTCTCTGTAAACTTCCATTAAAATTAATAATAATAATGGGGGGAAACCCCACAATCTACTAAAAACTTTTAGGGGCACTTCAACAAGGGAAGAGTCAATGTCAATGTCACTTCATCTTCCTCCTCTTTTTACCATCCTCACAGAGGAGAAAGAGGACAAATCATCGGATGTGCAGTTACAGTTTGATGCTGCTGATGGAAGCGTTATGAAAGCTGACCTGGATTGACAGCTGGGCCCTTATGCACCTAAATTCTTTATCACATCACTTCCAAATGAAGCCCCACAATACGAGCTCTCAACGACTCACTGCCCTTGAGTGGAGACTGATTCATAACTAACCTTCCAGCTGGCTTTCAGAAGCTGCAGACTGCATGGGAGGAGACAGCCCACATTTCTCTCAAGGGGAGTGGGTGGATTCAAACCACTTGCCTTGCTGCTGGCAGTGCAACTCCTTACCCACTAGGCCACCAGTGCTCTCTCATAAGATACAAGAAAGAGCTGAATGTGGTCATAATATGCGTTGTACTATTTTCCTACAAATCATGTAAGCCCAAATATATCGCCCAATAACCCAAAGAGTATTTAATGAGGCTAATTTACACTAGAAACCGCTTAATATATTTAAAAGTACATGCTTCCGTTCAGCAGTTTAATACATTGTCATGGAAATGATTATCTGCTTACAAGCTGGTTTAAGAATCACACTGCCAAAGGCAATGATGGTTTGATGGAGTAGCACTTGCCATTAAAACAAACAGCTAACAACAACAAAAGTGCGAGACAGAAACGCCATGTGCGAGCCAACCGGCGGGACTGAGTGATCGATAAAGCCCTTCTCAGGGAAACGCTCCAGAACACGGCAGAGCTCGGTCGTGAATTATTTCAAAGGCAAATGACGCTGCGCATGAAATGACTGATATTTCCCGCTGCCACTAACCAGTAACGCAAAGCAAAGAGTGCCCAAGTCCTTCTTTGAACCCTTCCATCTCAAACACCCAAAAATAGATAAGTGAACACAAATTTAGATCAGGGCGTAGTGTTGCGTTTCCCCAGGACCACACTGTGCTGGGTGGAGGACCCGGTGTTAACAGGAGGGCCTGGACAGGTGTCTCCCCCATCCTCCCACCCCCAGCCCTGCTGTCCTTGAACTTGGCCAAGGAGGGAGCCCGCGGGCTGAGCGCTCACCTGCTGCGGCTGGTACCTCTGCTGGGACTGGGAGGGCAGGTACTGCGCCTGCGGCGGGAGGTGGGGAGGCTGCGGCTGCTGGTTGTAATAGGGCTGCTGACCCTGCTGGCAGTAAGCAGTCACACCTTGCTGTCCATACTGAGGTGGCATCTGTCAAAAAGGCAAGCAGAGCAAGCGAGAAAGTCAGGAACACGTAATGCAATGACATCTGATACGTACGCTAAGAAAGGTGGGCTGCGTCGAAGCGGCTGAACTCAGTGTTTTGCGTTCTCTCGTTAGAGAACTGGCACATGCTGTCTTCTCTCCTAGCCACGTCTTTCCACCGAAGGCAAAAGGTCATCGAAATTCACCTTGGAAATTCCTCGCTCTCCTCTCAAGCACTGGTCATGTCATAAAAACCCGGCAGAATAAAAAACATCCACCAAAACTGGATATGAACAACCTCCCTAAGAAGGGGAAAGCAGGAAATGCTGTCTTTTTCCACGCAGGGCTGGGGCGGCAGCCCCCCACAGCTGTTCATGAGGGTTCCCGCGGCAAGCCTGCAGGGTGGGGGCCACCGACGGTGCAGGCCACCTTCTCATTTCAAAGCACAGTCAAGGCCGGAACTTCCCAATGACACAGGTAACAGGTATGCCCCAGGAGCAACTCCACTTATTAACTCTATTTTGCTAAAAAGGAAATACATTTCTCTATAATCAGTTGACATCACTTAAGAAGGGGGAAAAAAAGTTTCGCAAACTATATAACCATGCATATGAGTTACTGAAGGAAAACATAGTCACAGCTGTTTATGGCTCTGGTTAGGATCGGGGAGCTCTGGTGGCCTAGTGGTAAGAAGCTGTTCTGCAATCTCAAAGGCGCATGGTTTGAATCCACCAGCTGCTTCGTGGGAAAACGGGCGGTCTTCTCTCATGCAATTTACTGCCTCTGAAAAGTCGCTGGAGCGTCGACTATGAGTCAGTTCTCACTCAACCACAACAAATTTAAGGATTTATCAAGGAACACTGCAAAGTACTGTTGTTAATGTACTGAGCGAATTTCGGTTCAAAGCAAGTCTGTAAGCAGCTCAGAGGCACGGTAATTAAAGCATCTGGATAGTAACTAAAAGACTGGTGGTTCAAACCCACCCCCTTCAGGCATTGTCTGCTCCCATCAGAATGGAAAACCTTGGGAACCCTATAAGACAGTTCTATTTCATCCTACAGCACCCCAGTAAGAGCACCCCTATGGGTGGGAATCAACCTGGCCACAATCAATGAGTCAACAACCCTGAATGGCAGAGTAGAGCTGGCCCCGAGGGATTCCTGAGATGGTACCTTCAGAGACAGCAGCTCACCAGGTTGCATCCCCTGAGCTGCCGGAGGGTTTGAACCGCTCACCTTTTATTAGCCGTCCAGCACTTAACCACTGAGTCTCGAGGGCTGCAAACAGCAGAGAACCAGTCAAACACAACCTGCGTCTGCCTGCTCCACCTCTGCTTTACACCATCTCCAAACCCTTCAAAGTACTGTTTCAAGCAGCACCTTTCCTCACGCGACCAACACACCGTTAATAACATGTTTATATGGAGAGAGAGATGAAAAGGGAGGGGGGAACCCACACCACAAACCGCGACCCCAGAACAACAAAGGACCGCAGAGAGAATGGGATCACGAAATGTTCTGCTTGGGAACTCCAAGGCCACAAGGCTGATAAACCCACACACTTACATCAGAGAGCAGTTCCTGACACACTCTGAAAGGCCAAGTTCAAACTACGCTGTTGAACCAAGAGAAAGCAGAGGAGGAAGATCACGGGGGAAACACGTTGCCTTTGAGACCAATGGGCTCCATGATTCCTTGTTACACCAATGATGGATCCTTGTAACATCAATGATGGGTATAAGGAAAGCCGTAAAACCTCAGTTAGGAGCCCTTTAATCTCCAGTTAGGGACCCTTCACACCAGAGCTGTCAGCAACGCCCTGGGGAAAACGGGCCCTGGATCCCCACGCCTTGCATGGTGGAGGCTGGTGGTGCCCACAAGTTCCTTCTGAAAACCATGTACCAGCACAGTTGAGCTTTTTGCTTTTATTTATCTTACAGTTTGGTATTTTATAATGAATGTATGTCCCCGCCTTACGCCAAGCCAAAGAATTTCCATAAACCGCAACTCCACATGCTGGGATCCCAAAGCCCACCGCCACACACACCCTTCCCGCTCTGCGCCCATCTGCTTCATCTGCTGTCTAATACCACATTTCACACGGGCGTCTTTGCCGTCTGATTGGAAGCAGTTAGGATAACACTTCCACCAGTGTTAAAATCGCTGTAAAGCTCAGTCCCCGCAGCCAGCAAGCCCCCCCCCCCCCCGGGAGGCTGCACTTTAATATGTTGACTTTTTGGTTTACATAAACCCGTAGTCACAATATGGAAGTGTTGTTTGGGGGTGGGGCCTCAAGCTTCTGAGCAAGACAACAGGGCATATTGTGGGAGCCAAGAAACAGAGGAGCCATGAGCCTGAAAGAACCTCGTAGGGTCGCCCCTCAGCTCTGGAGAGTCTGAGGTCAGGAAGGGGCAGGAGAGCAGGAACAGACGCCAACGTGCAAGAGAGCATCGCCATCTATGACGGGCAGAAGGCAAGCATCCTGCGGGGGGCAAAACCACCCGTCCAGTAGAGATTTTATTAAGTGCCTCCCACAAGTCATTTATTTGCCAACCGCCCTGCTCCCCGGGCACAACCAGTGAGAAGAGACCATGCAACAGTCTGATGGCTCCTCGAAGGGTTAAATATTGTTGACCTTGTTGGCAACTCACAGTCCAACTCACAGTGACCATGTCAGAAACGACACGCTGCACACCCATGTTTATCGCGGCTTTGTTCACAATACCAAGGAGCTGGAAACAGCCCCAAGTGCCCATCAACAAACAAATGGACAGAGAAGCTGTGGTATATTCACACAATGGAATATTACACTGCATTGAAACACAAGGAACTCACAAAATATTATACGAAATGGGTGACCCTGGAGGACATTATGCTGAGTAAAATATCTCAGTCACAAAAGGACAAATACCGCACAGTGCCACTGTTGGTGTCAGAGGACTGACATCAGGGTTGGGGGGAGACTGAGAAAGAGGAGATAAATAATGTATACTGAATTAAATCTAATGAGGGAGAAAACTGTTTAAAAGGGATATATGATTAGGTATTATTGTCATGACAGGAGTCCAGAACGAAGGCTGCATAGTGGAGTGGACTTTGGGGGTAGGGCCTGTATAACAATGAGAGAATTTTACTTTTCAAAGAGAAGAGTGAATTGGGGGTGGGGGGTGGGCAGGGAGAAAAGTGCAACAATGAATGAATGGAAATCCTAAGTCTCTGCAAACTTTCATTAAAATTAATTTTTTTTAAAAAGAAATTACATAAGCTATTTAAAACAACAACAATAACAACAACTACACGCAATGTCACTGAGTCAACACTGACCCATGCCGATCCTCCCCTGGTTTCAAACCCTTGACCATCTTTTTCCTATGGAGTGGCTGGGGGATTCAAACAGCCAACAATTTAGCCAGTAACCAGATACATTACTAACTGTGCCACAAGGGCCTCTTATTCCAGCAGTTCCATTCTAAGATATATACAGGGACTCAAACTGACGCACATATGCACAAGATCACTGTAGCACTGTTCTTAACAGTTAAAAAAGCAGAAACAATCCAGGCGCCTTCAGTCAGCGACCAAGCAGAATGCCTGACCCAGTCACAGCAGAAATGAGGCTTCTGCTATGACATGTATAGACCACAGCCTCACTGTGCTGAATATGCAGTCAACACACTGGGACAAACACTATGTGACTTCCCGTACGTAAAATTACAAGAAAGCCCAATTCAGAGATGGATGGCAGAAGACCAGTGTCCAGGGATGGACCAGAGGGAGGGGTGGGGAGTTACTGCTTCCAGATCCAGTTTCTGTTTGGGGAGAAGAAAAAGTGTTAGAACTGGCAGGGGTGATAGAGCCTATTCTGTGAAGGGAATTAATGGCACCAGATTCATTCTTAAAAATGCTCGCTCGCTCTCTCGCTCTCTCTCTCACACACACACACACACACACACACACGGCTCAGTCACTCCAAAACAGTGGCCATTTCTTCTGAAGGTAGGCATATATCTGTCATTTGATCCAATATTTCCACTTCCTGGAGCAGAAGAGGGGAAAAGAGGTGAAAATTGGTAAATTTTATATATTTTACCACATTACAGTGGTAATGATGTGGCAGCTTATAGGTAAACGGCTAACCAAACGATCAGCAGTTCAAATCCACCAACTACTCCAAGAGAGACTGGAAGGCAGTCGCCTTCCACAAAAGGAGGCACACAGCCTCAACAAACCAACGGAGGGTCGCTGGACTTGATCAGCTATCCTCATGTGGATGCCATGGACAACCCAGACTGCTGAGTGCAACACAACTACACAACTGCTGGGTTTGGGGATGTCTGAAAGTTAATCCCAGCCCCTACCTAGTGGTCTATCATGCAACTCTATTTCTACACAACTGCTGGGTTTGGGGAGACCTGAAATTTAATCCCAACCCCTACCTAGTGGCCTCCCACGTAACTCGACTTGACTTCCTTCACAAGCTGCTAAAAGGAGTTGCTCTCTTTACTAATCACCACAGATTACCATGACCAGTCAACACAATAATCCTGCTGGGATTTCAGGATCCTTTCTAGAATTATCTAATTCTTGCTGGGATTATGCACAGCTGCTACAATTACTCATTACAAGTCATAGTTCCATTCTAAAATGTGAATCGGCTTCCAAGCTTTGTATTTAAAACCCAATTTCCAAATGAAAAACCTCAGATTCTTAGGACTAAAACCTAACTCTCTAATGGTCAATATTTTTCCTGTTTAATTGAGATGCAAGGCTTTTAAAGATACATGCTTTCTGACTTCTTGAACTAAAACAAGGTGCACCATGAAACATGAAAGTGACAGGGCAAGTGGAGACTGTTGAAGACCCCAGAGCCCACCGCCTAACACAGCCTGCCCAAACCTGACAGGGCTGAGATTCTAACGCTTTTATGAGTTCTCACATCCGCCTGGGCTAGCCCGGCCACTGTCACATGCCATCAGCGCACTCAGCCGTGCTCGTCACTCTGGCCCC